TCTTTTACGCTTCAGCCTGCGCATTCGCTTTTTCCTCCACTTGGCCCTCATGGTTCGGAGGTCTCGAACAAGATGGCGCTAAAGTGGAAAGAGCCCCAGTTTTAAATAACGCAGTGTTTCCTTACTCTGTTCTGATGACTGCCTTCTGGTCCAAGTATAGGTTTCACATAAACACAATCAAATGTTCTGAAATTCCCATTCTTCTCAGAGTTAGCCATTGCTGTGATTCACACAGTCAAATGCCTTTGCATAGTCAATGAAACACAGCTAGACATTCCTAGTACTAGAGGGTCTATTATTTCAGCAGAGGATGCCTAGTCCTGCTTCACTCTGCCTTAGTCTGGAAGTATGAGTCACAATTGATTCTATAGCACCTAATAACAACAGTAAAGTCTGGAAGCTACACTAGAACCTATCCACCATGGGTGATCCGGCCAACGCCATAGCTTCTCCAGCATCATAACATGCAAGTCACCACAGCATTGGCAAACTAGAAAACGAATCAACACGAAACCATTTCAGGGCCCCAGACTCCAAAATGGATTGAAGCTCACATCAAAAAAACAAAGATTCTCACCACTGGGCCAATTGGCAGCACCATCCATGGTAGATGGAGAAGAGATTGAGGTTATTGGCTCCACAATCAACACTCTTAGCACCAGCAGTCAGGAAATCAAAAGACCAATTGCATTGGGAAAATCTGCTGTCTGGGACCTCACCAGAGAACTGAAGAGCAACGATGACAGTCTAGAGATTAAGGTGCACCTGATGCAGGCCATGGTCTTGTCAATTGCTTGCTATGCTTCAAAGAGCTGGATAATGACTAAGGAAAACAGAAGACTCAATGCCTTCAAATTGTGGTGCTGGAGAAGAGTCTGGAACATACCATGGACTGTCAAGAAAACAAATAGTTCTGTTTTGTTTGCCTGTGTAGATTATAATAAATTATGGATTGTGTTGTGAGGATGGCAATGCTCAGTGGCTGCGTGAAGGAACATTCGGGAAGTAAGGTGGGTACCAGTGTGTCCACCGGAGCATGACTGAGAAACAATTTGAACATGAACTGAGCATTAGATGCTGTTAAGAGACTTTGTTAACTGTTACATCAAATAATGATATTTCTATAATTTGAAAGCGAACTCAAGGCAGCAAAATACTTTTTTTTTCAGACACAGAAGGAAAAAGGAAATCATGGCGTAGCCTCTCAATAAGACGCAAGAGAACCTTAGTGACATTTGCAATTACTTAAGTGACATTTGCAATTACTTGAGGATCTGCTTAGAATGTATTATTGAGTTCAAAGTGCAAGATTAAAATTACATTATTAACCTCTGCCCAATTCTTTTTAAAAGTAGCTTTCTTTTAAGCTGCGTTCTTTTTAGCAAGGTTGGTGTGGCTCTCAGTTCAGTACACGCTCTGAAGGACTCCTGGGCGGTGGTCTCTGCGTGGTGTGCTCGGTCCACTCTCCTTTGCCGAGATTTTTCTGGCTTTCCGAGACTTAACCATAGTAAAGCCTTTCGATGCGCGAGGTTCCCACGCTGCAAGGACTCTCGGAGAGATTCTGAATGGAAGAAGAAGTCTTCTCGGAGAAGACGGAATGGAATCTGTGAATGCAGTCTTACTCTGAGCTATGCCCCCAGCTGCAATTTGCTTTGTCCCTGCGAACATTTGTAGGAGGAAGCCCTTCTCCAAAGGTCGCACTTCCACTTCCCGGCAATCCGATGGGAGTTGGGGGAGGGGTGGTGCATGACAAACCTCATAGGCCCTGCGGGCGGCACTCAAACATCAGGTGGCCGGTTAGCTCAGTTGGTTAGAGCGTGGTGCTAATAACGCCAAGGTCGCGGGTTCGATCCCCGTACGGGCCACTGAGTACACTTTTTTCCGTGAGGGGTGGGTTGTTGTTTTTTTTTCTTTCCCGGGCCACTGGAAACTCCTTTTTCTGTGAGGGGTGGATTTGTTGTTGTTTTTTTTTTCCCCCTCCGCAGAATTTTGCTCAGTTTAGACAGTAGAAAGTTAAAAATGCTTCATTATTCTGCTGCAACCTTGAACTAGACGGCCAGCCGTTTGTAACGTCATTCCAGCCGCCACGTCTCTGATCCTTCCCTGGGGATACCTTTAAAGGATGCGGTAGGTGACGGTGGTTGTTAAGGGTGCCCTGCAAAACTTATTTTCCCTGCAATCACGAAGACGCACGGTTTGAATCCATCAGATGCTCTGCTGGAGAACGAAGGGCAATCTCCTGTGCCAGTCGGATCCGACTCGATGGCACACAACAAGAAAGAAAACAAAACAGAAAAATCCTTATACTTAATATTGCAGGGTCTGTGAAGGAGACCCTCAAGGAGGGTTGAGACGTGGCTTACCACACGGGCTTGAGTATGGCAGAGACGGTGAGGTTGGCACAGGACAGGCCAAGCTTCCAATCTCTTGGTCATAGGGTCGCTCTGAGCCCCACGACTCCTTGACGGCATCCGACAACAACACGCAGACCATCCAAATGGCCACAAATAAACCCTCCTAATGCCATCTATGCCCGGAGATGGCACAGATTAGGACAACTTCTCAGGGTCTCCAAGCAAGGCCCAGTTTTCTTGGATCAATGATTGCTACCTCCTCAAACAAGATCACTGCTTGTGGAAAACGTCTGGAAATGAGGATGATAGAATATTGTTGTTGTGTGCCAGCGAGAAGCCTGGGACTCACAGCCGCCCTACATACAACAGCTCTGAAGCCTGCCCTGTTCTGAGCCATTCTGACTCCAACACGCCTACCCCTATTAACCCACTTACTCTATCAATCCGTCTCATCCGGGGGCTTCCTCTTCTGCACTGTCCCTCAACCTTTCCAAGCATGTTGTCCTTCTCCAAGGCCATTCCCTCCTGGTCATGTGCCCAAAGTATGTGAGACAGAGCTTCAGAATTCTTGTTTCCAAGGAGAAATTTGATTTCACCCTCTCCAGGTCAGACCTATTAGTTCTCTTGGCAGTCCAAGGTATGTTCAAGACTCTTCTCCAGAACCACAATTCTAAAAGTCATCAATAATTCTGTAATCTGTCGTTGTCAAGCTCTTTGATGCACAGCAAGTAATTGCAAAGACCATAGCCTGGATCAGGCACACCTTAGTCTCTAGACTAAACTCTGTTGTAAGGGACCTCTCCAGAGTACTGAGAAGCAATGATTTCAGAAGATTTGACGGCACATAGCAACACATATCAGAAGTTCAAGGACTATTTTTAAACAACTCACACCCTCACAAATGCCAGGGGTCAAATTGTGGGTGCCACTAGGGTTGGACTGTGTTTTCTAAAAGGCATGTTCAAGCCCTGACCCTTGGTACCTGTAAGGGTGTGGAGTTGTTTGAAAATAGGACTTGGAGATACAATCAAGTTAAGTTTATGTTGTTGTACTATTCAGCTATGAAGAGAAATGAACTTCTGATACATGCCACATAGAGGAACCTTGAAAACCTCATGCTCAGAGGTTAAGTCAGTCACAAAAGGGCAAATATTAAATGGTCTCATTGATATGCAATAAGCAGATACGTAGGAACCAAACTTTTATTAGTAATTATTATGGTTGGGAAGGGGGTCTAGAGCGACATTTTTATTTGGGACACTGAGTTTACATTCTGGTAAAATGACTTGGAAACGGATAGTAAAACAGAAGTATAACTTGAAGAATATGATTCATTAACTTAATTATGTATACAGACATTGTTGAGGTAGTAATGTTTTGTTATGTATATTTCAATAAAAGAAAAAATATACTGTTGTTGTTGTTATGTGCCATCGAGTAGCTAGGGATTTATAGTGACCCTATGTCCAATAGCTGAACTGTGCTCTATTCTATGCCAACCTTATTTCTCTGACATATCTACCCTCCTTAACCTCGTCACCGACTGGGTTCGAATTCATATCAGTCTTCTTATGAAGAGGAGAGACACATGTGACCACCAAGAGGCAAAGAAAGGAGTGACCTATCTATAAGCCAAGAGACACTAAGGATTGTTGGCAACCACAGGTCAAGAGAAGGGAGTCGTACACATGTGATGTTAAGATAGTATTTTTGAATATTTGAGTTTCATATGAAGCGATCCTTTATTTACCTGACTGTGTTAATGCCTGGATATTGTCAATAGATCTGTTTTACTAATAAAAATTTGTTTATTTCTAGCACTATAATATCTTGGAACATAATTAAATACTTTGGACTTAAAAAAAGAAAAAAGGGCGTAGAACCTGTTGTCACCCGGAGTTTTCAGATACCACAACCTGCCCTCCTTGATTTCAGACTTCTGGACTTCAAAACCACTGGAGGGGAAAAAAATCAATGTATTATATTTATTCTTAAAATAAATTTTAATAAATTTATCTTCATAAATCTGTATTTGATGTCACAAGTGACATTTAATTTTGTAAATGATGGAGACTATTATTAGAAATTAACGTATTACATGTATTACTTTAAGTACGTTTCTGTTGTTTTAAGCCACGTTAGAAAAATTGCTTAAGAAACCCTGCGGCACAATGGCTTAAGCGATTGGACTCGACCAGCAGTTCTGTAAAGAAAGCTGAACTCTCTAAATTTAGAATGGGTCTCAGAAACCCGATGGAGAGTCTGTACTTCGGAACTCCCAGGAGAGACAGCCACGTTAGGAAGGAGACTTCTTAGGGCGGCCCGGTTATGTGCACACCCGACAGTAACATTGAGCACAACGGGACAGTGTGGTCAGGGCCAACCCCGGGGAGAGGAGGACAGCTCCTGGCGGAGATGGCATCTGACCGTGGGAGAAGGTGACCTGTCCACGGCGCTGGCGATGCCCGCGGGAAGAGGTGGAGGCGGTGCCCGTGGACTCCCTGTGTACCTCCCCAGGAGCTCGCCTTTCGAGGAGTTTTGGCCTGCGCGGCTCCCGTAGCCAGCCCCTTTCCCGGGTGACGCACATTTCGGCGGCCGCCGCCGGGCCACTCGTTGCCCCGGGTTCGAGTCCCCAGGTCGGCCGCGATGGCGGACGCGGGGCCGGAGGCCGAGGAGCGCTCGGAGGACGGCGGCGGCGGCGGCCAG